TTGCGGTACGCGGGCCTCTCACTGTTGTGGCCTCTCCCGTTGCGGAGCACAGGCTCCGGACGCGCAGGCTCAGCGGCCATGGCTCACGGGCCCAGCCGCTCCGCGGCATGTGGGATCTTCCCGGACCGGGGCACGAACCCGTGTCCCCTGCATTGGCAGGCGGACTCTCAACCACTGCGCCACCAGGGAAGCCCCAAGTGCTTAATTTTTAATTGGTAAGCTAAGGATAACAGGTAGTTATGAGTGAAAAGTTACTGAAACTATTAGGTTTAAACTTTTTTGAAAACAATTTTAGAGGAAAATTACAAAAAAGGGACAAGGAGTTCCCATGTCACACTTCACCCAGTTTATACTAATATTAACATCTTATGTTGCCATAGCATAATTAGCAAAACTAGGAAATTAGCACTGATACAATACTGTTGGCTAATCTACAAATCTTAGTTTTCCCACTAATGTCCTTTTTCTGGTCCAGGATTCAATCCAGGACCTGCATTATGTTCAGATGTCATATGTCTCCTTCATCCTCTCCAATCTATGACAGTTCCTCAAGCTCTCTTGGTCTTTCATGACCTTGACACTTTTGAAGAATTCTGGTCAGTCATTTTGTAGAAAATCCTTGATTCAGGTTTGTGCGGTATTTGCTCGTGGCTACATTGGGTTATGCCTTTTTGGCCAGACCACCACAGAAGCGATGCTTCCATCTTTGATTTTTTTTTTTTTTTTTTTAAAGGGGGGCTGACTGGCTGAGTATCTCTGAGCGCAAATTCAGATTATTTTAAAAATGGTCAGCCAGAGGAAGGCAAGTCTCTGGGGACAAGACCAGCCCAGAAGCCGAAGCCCCAGCTCTCTGTGGAGACAAACAGGTGCCACCTCTATGTGGGTGGGGGGCAGGGCTATCTCTGCCATTCCCAGATCAAGGTTTGGAGGGAGGGGAACATGACAGATGACAAAAGGACCAGTTTCTCAAAAAGCAAGGGATAAAGTAATTACACAGGGACGAAAACTCAAAGAATGGTTTACAAGGGAGCGAGATGAGTCGTGATTCTTCATTGGTACCTGACCCCAGTCCCCAAACTGCCTTGAGCCAGCCCTTCCAGACGCTGCCCACCGGGGGGCTCTGTAGAAGGCCTGAAGGCAGAAGGGGGGAAGGGGGCTGCTGCTGCTACAGCAGGAAGGGGCTTGAGTGGGGAGAGGAGCAGCTACTCCCCCCTCCCCCAAGCCTTCTACCACATTTACAAATACATACATAAATACATTACATACAACAGGGAGTCTGGGAGGCAGGCTCCCCACAGAGGCTCGGCTGACACAGCTACACGTCTCAGAAACTCTGGGGAGGGTGCCGGGCTCCGTGTGTGCTCTCCTGCCCGGGGTATGCCCCGCCCCGGCCCCCCAGCTCTTCAGGGTTCAGTTTGTCCAGTATGGAGAGTTGCCGTAGGCAGGTTTGGAGGCTTGCGACTTGGGCTGCAGGGAGCTGGGCTGGCCGCGCTGACCGGAGCCGCTCTGAGGAGGAGGACAGAAGGCTGTCAAGGCTGCAGCGGAGCCCCCAGCCCAGGGCAGGATGGCCGCCTGTTCCACCGGGCTCACCTGAGCATCCTGCGGGAGGTGGTGGTGCAGCAGCTGTGAGTGAGGCTGCTGGTGGGCGGGCAGGACGTGCACGAGCGGTGAGGGCGCGTAACCAGGGCCCAGGGGCCCAGGGGAGCCCAAGGCCGAGGGCAGGCTGAACGGTGGTGGGGTCCCCGCGTGAAATCCCTGCCTGTCGAAAGTCTGCAGGGCAGAGAGACGACAGTGAGGCTCGCTTGGCGGCACTCTGCCAGCCCTCCCGCCAGTGCCGGCCCTCCCTCACCTGAGTCTTGCTGTAGACGGACCCAGTCACGTCAGGGAGGCTGGGGCCGCTCGAAGACACCGACACTCCTAGAAGGAAAAGCGGCTGTTCCCACATCAGCTGGCCCCAGCGCCAGCCTCCCCCAGCTCCAGGGGCCCTCTGCGGCAGCCTCGCCTGAGGAGGAGTCAGGGGAGGAGACGACTGCTCTGGGCCGCAATCCTGGAAAGGCCTACCTTTGCCAGGCCCAGAACCTGCAGACTTGCTCTGTGCCTGCGATGATCCACCATAGCCACCCTTGGTGTAGTCTCCTGCTGTCGCCCCCTGGCTCACGTCATCGTAACCTAGCACGGCAGGGGACAAGAGGCACGTGTGAGCTAGGTGAGCCTGTCCTTCCCGTGCCTCTCCATGGCGGAAGCACCCCTCACCTGCACTGTAGCTGTGCTGGCCATAGCCACTGGCCTGCTGGAAAGGGGTGGTGGGGCTGCTGAGGCTCACACCGTGCTGCTTGGCTGAGGCTGGGGGGACCTGGTGGCAGGCAAGCAGGAGAGGCATTAGTAGGGGGACAGAGCTGGGGGAGCAGGTCACCCCGGCTTAGCCTCAGGCAGCAGGTGGCACAACCACTAGGGAGGTGTCTTCAGTAGCTCAACACGCTAGATCTCAAAACAGATGGGAAAGGAACCTCACCCCCAAGCCGGACTCATTCCTCAAGGCCAGGTGACACTCTGAGTGGGGACCTGTCCCTCCCTCCCTGCTTCTGCTCCCTGGAGCTGGAGTAACACCCCCCTGAATACTCACAAACACGGTGGGCCCATACTGGAAGGCACTGGGTATGCCTGTATAGTAGGGGAGGCCAGTGTAGCTGTAGCCAGGTGGCAGGGCAGGGTTCAGAAAGGGCTGCTGGGCTGTGTGGTGGGCCTGGGACTGGCTCTGCTGGGGCTGAGCCAGGGTGGTGGCAGGTGCAGGGGATGCAGAGTCTCCTCGGCCAAACTTTGTGACATCACCTGGGAGAAACGGGGCACTGAATCCAGTCACTGCCCCCTATCCAGCCAGGAAAAAGCCAGACTGGTCCCTGTGAACAGGAACAGGCCTGGCTGCCAGCTCAACAACAGGAAGCTGGCAGGTCTCTGCAGCCCTTCTGCGTCTGTTTCCAGACTCCTGGGATGAGCCACAGGCCAGTCCGATGACCACTCCGCCCCCATGCCTAACCCCCTGAACAAGACTAACCTGAATAGGGATTATTAGCAAGGCTCCCATCTCGACTAGCAAGGGCTGCGGGTGTAGCGAAGGGAATCCCATAGTAATCCTAGGAGAGACCAGAGAGGTTCAGTCAGCACAAGAGCCTCACCCCACTCCCAGGACAGCAGAACCTGCAGGCAGTACGGGTGCTCCAGGCAATGCCACATTCCCCCCGGACGACCAGACGGCAGGGACGTCACAGGCACACCACCAGAGGGCAGCACTCACAGAGAATTCAAAACAAATGGTGCCGGTCAGAGCTGTGCCGTGTGGCAGGCACACAGCATGTAGACACATTGACCGATCCCTCAGCCTTCCCTGGGGCAGAGCCAGCGGAGGCCCAGTCACACACATCCATTCTACATCACAGATGGATGCTGGTGAATGTCACGGGCCAAACCAACTCTACTGGCTTCTCCAGTGAGAGGGATTCTGAAGGGCAGCTAGGAAAGTTAACAGGACAAGGAGAAACCTGAGGAGGAGGAGGGGCCAAAAGGGTTTAACAGGGGTCAGGTCCTGAGCTAGGAGAGGCCACCCACTCTGCCCTGGCAACGCTGACATTGCACAGGAATCAGGACAAGTGTGGATGCTGAGGCAAAACACAGTGGAGCTCTATGAAGAAGGGGAGGCCTGCCCTGACCCTCACTCACCACCCAGGGCTCTGGCAGCCCTGGACATACTGCACCCCGGTCCTCTGAGCCGAGGGAAAGCCCTCCTGCTTTCCTTGTGGGCAGCAATGTCTAGGAAAGGCACCTACAGCCTCCTTTGGCCCCATTTCTCGGACACCTCCAGGAAATCCACAGCACCCTCAGACCAGAACCACAACAGAAGGCAGGGCTAGGAAAGCACAGTTAGTAGAACACAAGCGGGGACAGGCCTGGAGGAAGCCCAGGAGGGGGAGCTCTTTGACACAAGAAAACCCAAAGGTGGAAATGAGGCACAAAAGTACCAGAATCTAAGAAATGACCAAAGGGGAAAATGAAAGAAATGCATCTCAAAAGGCAGGCTCAGAGGTGATTGCCTCTAAGGCACAAAAAGATTAAAGGAATATGAAGCAGCCCAGGATGATTCCCAGGACTAGAATCCCAGAGTCATTCCTAGGGGCCCAACCAGGCACCACCTTCAGACTCATTCAGGACCACCTCCTGCATTCCATCTCTGATGCCCTGGGGCTCCTGGCTGCAAGGTTTCCTGAGTGTCAGGGGGACTAGGGCCACTTCTGGTTTCTCTGCAAAGCCCTAGGGCTTAAGGCATCCCCAGAAACCCTAAGTTCTGTTTTCCACTCTAGAAATCTGTCATCGTGTCCTCAATATCCTTTCTGGGCCCTCCAGGGACATGGGCAGCAGCTGGAGAGTCCCGCAGGCCCCTTGAGCAGTAGTGTGATTGGCTGCTGGTTTGCACACTGGGGAAGAGCTGCCCAGCTACCAACCTATGGAAACATTCCAAGCAGATGAAAGGGTCTTCTGAGAGACACGAGCTTCAGCCACTGGGGCCTGGGAGGTAGAGGTGGTGCCTGCAGCTCCCTGAGCTCTCTGGCCAGCCCAAGAGGGGCTAACACCAGTGGAGAGAAGTCTGAGGAAGGACACCTCACCTTCACTTGGGGAAAAGGAAGACCATACCCAGGAGAGTTCACATTGGGGTCCAAATAGCTATTTACTCCCAGACAATGTGACAGATGCCCTGGTCTGCTGCAAATGATCAGGAGTCTGGGAAACGCCAGACCAAGAAGTGGGTGGCGGTACAGGAGCCTGCAGGCTGTCCGGGCAGGGAGCGTGCCTCGTCCTGTACCTCTTCCGCACTGCAGTCCTGCTCTCGTGGCCATCCCAGAGAAGGCCCAGTGCTTCATCCTGGTAGCAAGGGCCAGAATAAAGAGGCAATGCTGCCCTCAGAGTGAGACTGCAGCAACCAGAGAGATCCTGGGGCCAGCGTTCTTATACACGGGATGGCAGGCTAAACCCAGAAGGGCCCTTGAAGACTGCTGGCTCCAGCCACTCACTCTGAAGAACAAAGCTGCCATCATGAGCAGCATCACCAATGGCCACTTCAGAAGCCAAAAACACTAGATAGTACTTCGGAGAGGACATTTTTAATAAAAAGTCTAGGGGCACATAAGCAGCGCCACATCCTGTTTGTTTGTTTTGGTGGGGGGAGGGGTGGAACTTGAGGGAAGAGAAGGACCCACGTTTGGTAGGGACACTGCCTACTGGGGCCCCAGGTCCCAATGATCTTCAAGATCCCCAGGCACGAGCACAGGACGCTCCAGTGCCCAGGCTGTAGGTGCAGCAGGCACAACCACCAAATGGAAGCAGCTTTCTCAGCTGTGGTGCTGAGGGAAGTCCTCAGGCCAAGTGTCCTGAAGGCCAGAGAGGGTAGCAGTCACGGCCGCATGGGTGAGATGCGCGAGACTCAGAGTGTGAATCCCCCCAGCCACCAGCCCAAATTCCACTCACCATCGGCAGCCGTGACTGCAGCATCTGGAGCTCGTCATAGCCATAAACCTGTGTGAGGACCAAAATGGCTGTTAGATGCCCTGCCTTGACGGAGTCTAGCTGGAGAAACGCCCGGGATCCGAGCGGCAGAGGTGGGCTCAGGGAAGGAGCAGCAGCAACCCAAGGCCCCCAGGTCCTGCCAGGGGCCGGCCCAGAGCCCCACGTGCGCTCACCGGGTAGGCAGGAAGCAGTCCTCCGGGGCCCACGAGGTACTGGCTGTGCAGCAGGGGAGGCGCCCCCTGGGGCAGGCTGGGGGGCGCTTTGCCTGTGAAGGCAAACTCAAATGGAGTGAAGGGGCCACCACAAGGGCGAGATTCCTCAGGTACTGTGGGCATGGCGGGTGTCGAGCCCACTGTCACGGTGCTGTCCCAGACGAGGCCACGGGCAAGAGGGGAGGGCAGCAGCCGAGAGAAACGGAAGCCATGCTAGGGGGCGGGGGAGACAGAGCACGTGCCACCACATCCAGGCTGTGTTACGCGCCCTGCGGCACAAAACACCGCCACCCTCTCCTGAAGGCCGCACTGCGCCAAGAGGGCCCGAGCAGCAGGAACCGCCTGCCCCTCAGAACAAAGCAGGCCAGGCAGCACCAGGAGAGGCACAGCTGGGCCAAAGGCGGGCGAGCAGTCGCTACCAAACCACAGTCTGCTGGGCCCACACAGACTGCCCGGGTCTGGCTGCCAGGCAGTCACAGCAAGAGCAGAAGAGCCCACGAGAGCTGCTCCGTCATCTCAGATCCAGGGATGAGCGAGGACAGAAAAGAATGGGGAGCTACGAGCACAAAGGCTGCCAAGGATCTGCCCAGGGGAGCATGCCCCCAGACACTGATTTCAGAATCACCCAGAACCTGGCCCCTACATTAGCTCTGGAAGATCCGGCCTCAAGAGGTGAGTGGAACAAAGATGACAAGCAAGTGGCGGCACAGCCGGAGGGAGACTATGAGCTTCCGACACTCGTGGACCCCCCCAGGCCTGCCCCCCTCGGCCTCCTCCTGGGAAGCGGAACAGCACCTTCGAGGGGCGGGGGAGCTGGAAAGGCCCCGGGGGGCACACACCTGAGGTCACCAAGGGCGTGGCCCTGGCACTGCTGCTGGGGGCACTCACAGCGGTACCGCCCAGGCAGAGGCTGTTGACCGTGTTCATGCTGCTTGGCAGGCTGAGCCCTGAGGACGCGGCACTCGAGGCACAGGTTGCTGCCGTTGAGAAGGTGGCTGAGGACTGGAGGGAAGGGGTGCTCTCCACGCCGGCATGCTGGCAAGACAAAAGCCAGGACACATGGATCTGGGGGCAAAGCACAAGAGTGCACAAGAACCGGCCTGGCCTGTGTGCCCGTAGTCTCAGATGGACCAGTGTGCTCACCGTGGCCTCTCACACTGCAGCCATATTAGGCCATTGGGACACAACTCATCAGCTGAGCTATCAAGACCATTAAAATGGAGATTTACGACCAAAAAACCCTCCTAAAAAATCATTAAAGTTGCTCAGGCTTTGGTAAGTGAAACAAAGCACAGACACAGACGAGCACAGAGCATCTCAATAAGAGGTGAAAACCAACCTCAGAAAAGCAAGGAGCCTCAGGAGAGTCGAGCCTGCGGCCACAAGCAGCCCAACCTAAGTCAGAGCCTTCCTGGCTCCTCTGACCTGAAGTCACAGGTGGCCAAGAGAGGCCTTTGCTCCAGGATCTGGTGACACTTTGTAGGTCACCAGAGACTACCAAGCAGGGCACGGCCCGGCCCTATGCCTGCCCGACAAGAGCCACCGAGGAAAGAAGGGCAAAGCCTAGCAGAAAGCTGTGAAGAGCCTGAGTTCCAAGGGTCCTGCCCAGCTGCTAGTAAACAAGGCATCAGGAAGGGCTTCAAGGGCTGAGGGGTGGGTGGAAGAGATACACCTGGCTGGGCAAAGCAAGGGTCAAAGAGGGAGGAAAAGGCTCTGTAAGACTGAGAACAGCCTCCAAATCAGAACTTGTGCACAACAAAGAAGCCGGGAAACTCCTGGAGGGGAAGCTGAAGAAGCGAAGGACCAGGAGAAAGGGGGCCACCGCGTGTTCTGCTTTCCACGGCACAGACGGCGCCGTGCGGGTCTCAGCCCCACGGGCCACCCTGCCCACCCGAGCACTAGTATCCAGAATCGGCTCAGCAAGTGAAGACTGCTGAAATTATGGTCTTCTGGGGCTCCTCGGGACTCCTGCCCCTTCCGCCTAGATGGACAGACAGAACCAGGAAGATGAGAGCCCAGGGTAGGGCCAGGACTGCCCAACACCCATGCCACGGCCCCCTGCGTGGAGCCAAGGGCACCCGCCACAGGATCAGGAACGGCTCTGACCACCGCACTGTGATGGTGGCACTGGCCGCACAACCTTTCAACCACAGGATTAAAAAAAGAAAAAAAAAAAAAAAGAACATTCCCAGACTGGGGAGTACGGGGAATCCACGGGAACTCCAGAGTCATCCAGCAAGCCTCCTGCCTTCAGTGGACCCTGGCGGCGTTCCTGTATCTGCCCCCTCACCTCTCAAACCTGTGAGGAAGACAAGTTGCTGGCTCGCTCGAACCATCCGACGGGGCTGCCACTCAGCCCCTCAGATGGGCCCAGAAAAGCACAGCTGCACCAAACCTTCCACAGAACACGAAGGGCAGGAGAAAACACTAGATTTCCTTTACAGACAAGGTAGGAAAGACCTGGCTCTGACAGACTATGATATATCCGACTACTCAAAAATCAATTCATAAAATGACAAACCTAGGAAAAATATTTGCACTTCCCATCACAAAGGGCTACCTACTAAGTCTCCCAACTATAGAAATAAAGACCACAGTCCTGACAGGAAAATGAAAAATGTAAACAGCTCACCCAAAAAGAAATTAATGGCTTTCCAATATATAAAATAGATGTTCAAGCTCTTTCGATTAAACACTATACTGACAGGTCATTTTTCTATTAACACATTGGAAAAATACAAATATTTGGTAACATCATTTCAGGAGGACGTGGGGAAGGAGGACATTTCATTCTTTGCCAGTAAGATCTAAGTGGGTTAAAATCACTATGCAGAGCAATTTGTATAAAATGACAAATGCCTAGCAATTCCCAGGGTTTACCCTCTAGACACAGCTGCACACGTGAAACGTGCAGGTTATCCACCGTTGTTTGTACAGGCACATCTCATGTTCTTGTGCTTCTCAGATACTGCGTTTCTTACAAAATGAGGGTCTGAGGCAACCCTGGGTCAAGAAAGTCTATCAGCACCATTTTTCCAACAGCATTGGCTCACTTCCTCTCTCTGCGTCACATTTTGGTAATTCTCACAATATTTCAAGTCTTTTCATTATTATATCTGCTGTAATGATCAGTGACCTCTGATGTTACAAATGCAAGAAGATTACAACTTGCTCAAGGCTCAAGTGATGGCTAGCATTTTTAGCTAATAATGTATTTTTTAATTAAGATATGTATGTTGTTTTTGTAGACATGTTATTGCACACCTTAACAGACTACAGTATAGTGTAAATGAAACTTATATGCACTAAGAAATCAAAAGATATATGACTCACTTTCCCACAATATTCCCACGGTGGTGGTCTATAACTGAACCCACAGTATTTCCAAGGTATCAAGACTGAAAATGGCCCTAACGTTCCATCAGAGGAGGCCTGATTAAATAATGTAATGCAGCAGAGCTGTGAAAAAAGAACAAAGAACTCTGATTCAACAAAGAAACCTCCTGAAGATACACTGTTAAGTGAGGGAAAAAGATAAAGGACACTATGTAAAGAATACTCCCATTTATATTACAGGAAAAGAAAAAGGGCAGAAGGAAAACTACTATATGCATTTTATGGGTTTATAAAATACAAGCTAGAGGATCAAGAAAATAGTAGGAAAAGGGGTACAACCAAGTAGAAAAGAGACAAAAGTTTTCAGTATATATCTTTTTATGTCTTTCGTTATTGAATCTGTGACGACATTAGCAATTGTACTAGGTGATTCTGGCTGTGGCCATTGGGATTGTAAGATTTGGGGTTTCCTGCTAAGACACAGACTGCAGCTAACCCATGAGAGCAAGAGCTCTGGTCTCCAACACACAGTACCCGGAACAGGAGGCCAGCTCTGCAGGGCTCACAAAGGGGACATCTCAGGGCTCCCACTGGCCAAACAGGAGGCACTGGCTGGTGGGCAACTTACTCCAAGGGCAGAGATATTCACACCAATCTCTGCTATGAAGACAGTGATCTATGTGTTTTAAAACAAAGAATTATGTGTAAACTGATTTCACTTGGAAAGCTAGAGTATGAAAGCCACGATGTTAGCCAGGTCCTGATAAAGGACAGGACCTGAATCTTTTCCATTGCTTCATTCTACAGCGAAAGATTCGACTTCTTCTTCAGAGGAAACAAATTTCCCCCAGTTTCCCAACTCTCCCGTTCATCTGCACCTAAAACTTCCTTCCCTACTTGAGGAACCATCTACTTCCACCTTGTGGAAGCCTGCTGTCTCCCAGGAGAGGGACACTGTGCTCTCTCCAGGCACCTTTCCTTCCACGTTCCAGCCTCCCCGGCTGCTAGCACAACACCCACCCGCTGCCCTGCCTCCTTGCACAGCCCAGCTGCCAGCCCTCAGCCCGCTTGGTCTAGACCGAGTCCTACCCAAGACCACGCTCCCAGCTCCACAGCTCAGAAGCCGCACCTCAGCAACCACCATCTAGGTCACTCTTCAGCGCACCAGGACACTCGCCCACTTGTGCTTCCACTCTTGCCTCTCCACACCCACACTTCCTTCTTCAACAGCAACCTTCCCAAAGCCTCTGCCTCTGAGCTGGGGAAGATGTCCTGAGACGGCAAGATTGAAGTCTCCACGACCACCAGCAACCTGGAATGCAGTTACACTGACTGGGCCGTCAGTCTCAGAGACACACGAGCTCTCCCTGTCCTTTCAAGCACTCTCCCTACAGTGGGCTTCACAAAGTAACAGAGCATTCCCCAGGAACACTGCTCTTGATTAAACTTGACTTTTAGTAGAGCCCACGCGGAAGTTAGCAACGAGTCTACTTTCCTCTAAAAAACTTGCAAAGACCTCAACATAAGAAGCCCCAGCAAATGAAACCAACCCTGCCAGGTAGAAAGGTCTCCTATCATGAACAGGGAGCTCTGAGTTCTTGGGAACAAATTCACCACCTGACAGCCCTGCCAATCATCTATCAGGTATGGAGAACCAATTCTTCCACAGAGACATGGACTTAGGAAGCAAGATGTCCTCCATGTTGCCTAGGAAATCACCTGTTCAAACCATGTACCTAGATGGAGACGTTACAGCCAAGCTATTAGAGTATTTCAGATATTTAAAATCCACAAACTAAAGCCCCACCTGCACATGACTAAGCTCCAAGCTGGCTAAGCAGGGTGCTGGGCGAGGGAGCAAGGAAAACTTACCGTGTGTGACGTGCTGGTGGAGAGCACCGTGTGCGCAGAGGAGAGGCTGCTCTGGTGGCCGGAGAGAGAGCTGGAAGACAAGGCAGAGCCCCGCGTGTGCACCCCCCAGCACTCCACCTGAGGGACCCACGCATCTAGGAGGGCTGCACACGAGCTTGCCCATCCCTTCACATCCTTCCTTCTGTGTGGCCTTGGAACCCAGTCCAGGTGTTCTGTGGTTAGAAATGATCTAAAGGGTCACTCACCATGAGGATCTGGGACATCCTGCCCTAGGAAAGCTACAGAGCCAGCTCAGACAACTCTAACCATTTGCTCTGCAGACTGTAAATGCTAAGAACAGGATTGCACTAAGAACACAGCCAGCCCCAGAGACCCCATTAAATTTGTGTGTGAGGGAAGAAAGTTCCTATGTTCAACCCCACATGCCAGAGACAGAGCTTGAATTCCCATCAAATGCGGAACTCAAACCAAACGCTTTTGTTCCTGGCTACAGGAGGAAAGAGGAGAAGTCTACTCAGAAGACAGGGTAAGGACCAGACAAATCCCATTCTCCTGCACCCTGTTCTGATAACTTGACCTCTGACACCACGACAAGTGCGAGGCAGTGACCTGCTCAGAAAACCCCCAGCACCCTCACCCCACATCACAGCAACGGGGCCCAGAATGCGGAGGAGAGACAGGTTCGGGGTACCCTCCTGAGGGCTGAAGAAGAGTAGCAGTGACCCCTTGGACCCACCTGATTCCCAGGGGACCCAGGGCTCTGTGACACCAGGGGCATTACAGGCCAGCAAGGCTTTCACACTCGGTGCCTGTGAGACCCTACCCAGCCACCTACGCTGCGGCCTTACTGCAAAAGGCCAGGACGTCATGTAGGGAGCAACAGTGGGTTCTGCTCATGGGAACAGCCATGTAGAAGGGCTCCAGGACTTCACCCCCGTGTGCCTCGGACTCTGGGCCCGTATTTTCCACATACCTGCTAAGCTGAGAGAGGGGGCTGCTGGACAGGTCACCAGGCTGGGACAAGGAGGGCAGAGCGGCAGTGTGCTGGGGTACAGAGGGCAGAAGCGGAGTGCAGGAGGTGGTGCTGGGCAGGGAGCCCACGGATGGGAGGGCAGAGGGAGGGTCTGTTGTCTTTGGAGCTGGAACAGATGAAGGAGCTGTAAGAAACAGATCTGTTTAGCGCCAGAACCAACCATTAAGTATCAGAAATATGCTCAATGTTTTGTGACACGTCAGGCTCAGTTGAGACATATACAAAGTTACACCCCTGGGGAAAATGCACAAGCATGCCACAGGTAGGCCCTTCTCTGTCTGCTGCGACTATGGAGAGGACTGTCAGAACACAGGCCTCAGGCAAGGAGAGAAATGACATCTTTACCAGCATGCACAGCCCCTCTGTGGTGAACATACTCCTCCCGACTAAAGGAACCCGACCCTGAGCCACACCCAGAAAGGGAA